TGGATAGCCGAGGAGGGGCGTCCGATAGTGGACAGTGGCGGGGCCCAGGGCAGGGGTGGGGTAGGGGGGTGCGGGGTCTGGGTTGGCGGAGCGGGGGGGTTGGAGGGGCAGGGGGCGCGGACAGGGTGTCGGGGTCGGTGGTGTCGGTGAGGTCGCCTCCGCTGATGGTGCCGAGGACCGTTCGGACGGTTGAGGTCGGCCACTCCAGGGGCGACGCGGGGTCGACGACCATGGTGAACGGGGGTTCGTTCTCGTCGACGGGGCTCGGGGAGCGGGGGGTGGGGCTGGGAGAGCGGGGAGAGGGGCGCGTACGGGTCGGAGGGGGCGCGCCGGAGCGTAGGCGATCGGGCATCGGGCGGAGGTGCTGCAGTGTTGGGGAAGGGGAGTCGCGGGGTGGAGGGGAGCGGCGCGAAGGTTGTATAGGGGAGGACCACTCCATGTCGGCCTCGTCCATGGGGACGTCCCCCCAGTTAGTGTTGCTCCAGTCGACGTTGGTGTCGCCCCATCCGGAGACGTCAGCCGCGTTCCCCCATTCCGGGGCGGGCAGAGGCGGGGTGGGGGGAATAGGGGAGGCGGCATGGCTGTCGTTGTTGGCGATGACGCGCTCCAGCCAGGTCCGCTCGCGTTCGCGGTCAACCTGCTCTATGTGGTTGACGAGGTCAGCTATGAAAAAAAGGTGATGGGGGGCGCAAACGATATCCAAGGCGTGGTCGGACATGGCGATCGTCGTGGCCCGCAGCTGGGAGACAGTGTCGTAGGCCCGTCGTTGGCCAGATGGGTCGGTGATCTCGCCGACGTCCCAGTCGAGGGTCCGGAGGTGGGTGAGGGTGACGACCGACTCGCCGTAGATGGCCCAGGCGTGACTGGCGGGCGGGACGTCCCGAAATCGCCATTCCAGGACGTTGCGCAATTCTGGGCTGGGTTGGAGGAGGAGCCACCCAACGTATTGACGTTGGGAGGTCTGGCCGTATCCGGCGATTTCATTGCCGGGTAGGTGGAGGAAGGAGAGGTGGAAGTCGTGGTCGAGGAACCACTGGGGGGTGGGGACGTCTTCGGGGGCAGCGCGGTAGGTAGAGGCGAGTTGGGGCATGGTGTTGATTGGCAGGAGAGAGGAGTGGGTTGGGGTTGTTCCCTAGAGTCGCTGTTGCTTCTTGTACTTGGTGAGGAGCTTCGGCGCATTGGTCATCTCCTTCCCGGAAACCCACGAGTTTTCGCTGCTAGGCCAGCCCTTCCAAGAGACGAAGTATTGATAGCCTTTCCCACGTTTCCGATGGGCCAAGATGGCCTCGACTTCCCATTCTTCTTCGCCTTCTACGGTCTCCGGAGGCGGTCTGGGGTAGTCTGGCCCGTGTTCCTTGGTGACTCGATAAGGTTTGAGTAGATTCACATGGAAGACGTCATGGATCTTCCAGGCCTTAGGGAGTTTTAGCCGAACCGTGACTGGACCAGTGATCTCGTCGATCTCGAAGGGTCCTTCCCTTTTCGGGGCTAACTTCCGGTGGGGATAGGGGAGTCTGAGGTTGGTCGATTCGAGGAGGACCCTATCGCCTTTCTTGAACGTGACCGGCTTGGTTCCAGCCCTTCGGGCCATGATCTCCGCTGCTCGGTTGTGCGCGGCTTCCGCATTGGCTCGGTCTTTGAGGAGTTGCTGGATTCGTTCTTCCGCGCTCGGGTGTGTGGATGGAGAGAGGGAGTTGGGGAATACGTCGGGGTTGTAGCCCATGATGAGTTCGAACGGAGACTTGCCGGTGACGGAGTGCTTGTGTTGGTTGTGGCAGAACTCGAAAGCAGGGAGTTTGTCCGACCAGCTGTCCGGGTCATTGAGACAGTAGATGCGCAGGGCTAAGTCGATTTCCTGGTTGACTCGTTCTGTCTGTCCGTCCGTCTGAGGGTGATACGCCGTGGATCGGGAAGTCTTGACTCCTACGAGTCGTTGCAGTTCTTGGAAAACCCCAGACGCAAACTGGGGTCCTCGGTCGGATATGATCCTTTGAGGGGCTCCAAACCGTTTGTAGACATCTCGGAACAGTAGTTCAGCTGCTTCCAAGGCGGTGACGTTGATAGTGCAAGGGGTGATGACCGCGCCCTTGGTGGTGTCGTGATCTACTACCACTTGGATGGCGTTGAATCCGTTGGACATTGGAAGGCCCGTGATGTGATCCATGGTGATGACCGAAAACGGTCGCGTGTTTCCTGCGTGGGGAATAGGCATGGCGGGAGCTTTCACGGGGTGGGTGTTAACCTTGGATCCTTGGCAGATGGCGCATCCTTGAACGAATTTGCGGATGAAGTTTTCCATTCCGCCCCAACTGTACTGGCGTGAGACGAGTTCGATGTTCTGGTCCTGTCCGGGGTGGCCCATTACTGCCGGGTCGTGATGTATCCGGACAATGTCGCGTCGCAGGTCTTCATTCGGAGGGATGTAGATCTTGCCCTGATACTTGGCAACACCATCGTCCAGCTTCCAGTCTTCGGGTTTGCCGTACGGAGGTGGCTTGACGG